GGGTTGCCAGGCCAGCAGAGGAGGGCAGGTGGGGGCGATTGGGCCTGCAGGGGAGGACAGTTGGGGGCAATCGGGTCTGCAGGGGAGGGCAGGTGGGGATGATCGGACCTGCAGAGGAGGTCAGTTGGGGACAATAGGGTTGCAGGGGAAGGCAGTTAGGGGTGATCAGGCTGGCAGGCAGAAGAGGTTAGGGGCAATCAGGCCAGCAGGCAGAGGGGTTAGGGGTGATCAGGCAGACAGGCACGTAAGCGGTTAGGAGCCAGCAGTCCCAGATTGTGAGAGAAATGTCCTGGATTGGAGAGGGTGCAGGCGGGCTGAGGGAACCCCCCCAACCCCACAACATGCACGAATTCATGCACCAGGCCTCTAGTTTAAAAAAATAAAAATAAAAATAATTCCCCTAGCTTTTATTTCAGCAGAGTTGAGTCCAGTCTCTTTCCTCTATTGTGATAGTCTTCAATAAAGTCTTCTTTGCTTATTTAACTACATCTGATGAAATTTTTCTTTGACAATATTCAAACAATTGCAACTTTAAAATTTCAAACATCGCCGAAACCGGTTTGGCTCAGTGGATAGAGCGTCGGCCTGCAGACTGAAAGGTCCCAGGTTCGATTCCGGTCAAGGGCATGTACCTGGGTTGTGGGCACATCCCCAGTGGGGGATGTGCAGGAGGCAGCTGGTCGATGTTTCTCTCTCATCGATGTTTCTAACTCTCTATCTCTCTCCCTTCCTCTCTGTAAAAAATCAATAAAATATATTTTAAAAAAAATAAAATTTCAAACATGGTTTACTTGAAATGTTCTGCTGCCAAACACTTGGGCTTCACATTTTTCTAATATTTATTTTCTAATATTTACTGACTTATCAAAGAGGAGTTTTGGGGTACAATAATCTTAATGGATCCTGGAAATCATCCCGCCACATAGATTACAGCAACTAACCTGTTACTCACACCTGAATTTATGCCACTTAGAAAATTTCCTTTGAGATAAGATGCCGACAACTGACAATGATTAAGTATTTTCACCTACTAACAACTTATGCATTTATTGGACTTTTTTTCCCCAATTTGATAGTTAGTTAACCCATATGTTTTAGATTGACACAGAACAAGCAATTGAAATATACATATTCAAAGAAAGAATGAACAAGAAGTCATCTTTGAAGGGGTCCTGCAAAAGTAAGTTAATGTGAGGAATGATAAAGAATGGATTAACAGCTAAGCTAAAACCAGGAACAAGGCTGGTGGCCTAAAAAAATAATTGGCCTTTTTTATAAATGCCTCAGTTTGATCTGTATACAGAAAAATAAAAACGTTGGTGGCTTCCCACAATTCCCTTTAACAATGGGAAAATGTTACAACTGAGCAATCTTTGCTGATGCTATAATAATTTCCACACATTAAGTCATCTAAAAGATATGTAAATTTACCCCAATGGTCAAATTTACTAGTGTACCTTTGTTTGG